GCTATGAGAACTTGGGTTCAACAAATTATCACTGCAAATATACCTTTAAGTGACTACTTGTTAAGAGAAAAAGGAATCGCATTTATTCATACACTTGGTATAAAGGAAGAGGATTTATCATTTTCATCTGGTTGGGTTACCAAATTTAAAAGAAGAAATTAACTTTGTTGTATTACAATACACAGAGAATCTGAAAGCATACTTCTTAAATCCTTACCAAGATTTCGATTACAACTGCAAGATATTATATCCCACTACCACCCTGGTGATGTTTATAATGCAGATGAGACTGTACTTTTTTTTCATATGCTTTCTGTCTAAACACTCTCTGACAGACAATGACATGGAAGAAAACTAGCAAGTTTTTTTTTTTAATCATTGATATTTAATATATATATATTTGTTTGTATGATTTTAAAAACTGATTTTTTTTTTTTTAATAGGACAAAGCATGAATTACGGTATTACTTGCAGCAAATTCCACTAGAACACATAAGCTTCGGCCACTTGTTATTGGTCAATCTGAAAAACCACGATGCTTTAAGAATATCAATGTTGCTTATCTTCCGGTGATTTATCATTCTAACAAGAAGGCATAGATGCGATCAAATATATGGGAAGGCTAGTTATGATATATTGACAATATTTTTTACAGTCAAAAATGGCAGATTCTCCTACTTGTGGACAATATGTGTTTACATACTTCTCTAAACTTTGCGGACTCAGATGCTTCAAGCATCAGTACTATGTTAACTAATATAACTGTACACTATTTACCACCGAATACAACCTCTCATATCCAACTAATGGATGCAGACATAATCAAAAGCTTTAAATCAAAATATAAACAGCTTTATTCCCAGCATATTTTAAAGTTGTTTGAGAAGAAATGTGATTTAGAAAAGAAAGGTTTTTTTTTTTTTATTTTTTAAAAAAAAAAAAAAAAAAAATTCTAATTTATTTTATTTAAAAATTAAAAAAATAAGTTAAATATCAAACAAGCTATTGATTTTGTCACACATTCATAGGATGAAGTAAGCGATATCACGATCAAAAATTGTTGGAATTCTACTAGCATACTTCCAGACGCAATTAATAGTGATGAACCAGAGCTATTCTTTATGGATACTAATGACAAATATAAGACCATCGACCTTACTGATAACGGGTTTTTTATTTCTCAATTTTTTTTTTTTGTTTTTTTTTTTTATAACAAAATTTTATCTTTGTTTATAACTTTTAAATATTTTTGTTCAGAGATCCGGAGGCAGCTAGACTTAAGAAAGATCTTGAGTTATATTATACAACCGTTGATGAACCTCTTGCTACAAAGGATGTAATAAATGATGATGAAATTCTTGCGATGGTCTATGAAACCTTTAATCCTAAGCAAGTGGTAACAGATCCTGAGGAAGATGACATGCCTCCAACACCTCTAGTAAATTTGTCAGAAGCAATAAATGCGCTGAACATACTCATTCAATTTCAAGAACAAAGAGAAAATAATAATAAATTTAAACCAGAAGAATTAGATATGCTACGCAAAAAAGTGTATCAGTTTGAAAAATTGAAGAATGTATCGAAAAAACAAACCAATCTCTTTGGCTATTTTGGTGACCAAGATTCGCAACATTTATTTGAGGTGAGTTGATTTTGTACTAATATAGTACAGTCATATCTCTCTATGTATATCTCGTTAGGACCATAGATAAATTTGCATTTAGAGATTTATGGAGATTAAAAAAGTACTTGCACTTAGGGGTGAGACTGCATATAAATACTGTTCACCATATTTATTGTTACTGTTAAAATTTCATAGTAACCATGATATCTATGAAAGTGTTTCGAAATATCAAAGAGGCTAATAAATCTGCACTCAAGTTATGGATAAAAGTAATAAATATAAACTGCATCATTTAATAAATCTGGCTGGGCTTTTGGTAGTTATAGATATAAGGTTACAGAATTTATAATTTGTAATTATTGGTTTAATAAATATAAACCAACAATTATTTTTTGCTATGCTTAAACTATTCTGTTTTAACAGATTATATTATGGCTAAAAAAAAAAAAAAAACTATTGCTTTGTATAAATTCGGTTTGGGTTATTTTTTTTGAGAAATAAATTTGTACAAGGATACTACTGTTATACTTTGAGGTCAAGCTTTATCGATTCTAAATCAATATAAATTATAATAGAATTCTCAAATAATAGTTTAATGTTAATTAGTAAGTTATAACTGAAGTTATAATTTTTACTAAAAATCATTATGAGTCTCATATTTGTTTTTTAAATCAAGCCTTTTGAATATCATTGATTACAAAGTCCAATCAAATTAAGGTTAGTGTTTATAAATGCTGATAGATTAGAGTTGCGATTAATTGAAGTGCTTTTAATAATGATTTTGATGTGCTCTAGGAAAAAACAATAATCAATTCTAATAAAACAGTTATAGGAGTTGTTGTTTGCCGATGTTTTATAATAAATTTACTACATAGATTAAGTGGCTAGGAAAAATGCCATTATACATAATATGACCTTTTATTATTAAATTCTTTTAAATTTTTTTATTAAAATTTAGTACTTAAAATTTGTTTCATTAAATCAATAAAGTTAGTACAAGTATATCTGTTATATTATTAGGTAATACAGCTCTAGGTTCTTTAACTATAAACAACTTTTTACAAGTGTGCATATACTATACAAAATGTAAATTTTTTCAGTGCGGCATCTGCATAATTCTGTGTGCTACGCACAATCTGCATAGCAAAAAATAATCACTAGCACTAACTACAATATTATATTTACAATTTATTTTTAGAAATTGTGTTAGAATTTTATAAAAATAATGCAATATAATTTATTACAATAGAGTTTATTAATATAACTTATTTATATTGTAATTTTAATATATTTTGCAATTTTTATTATTTCTATATAATCACAATAATTTATTTTTTATATATATGTAATTTTATAAAAAAATTTTTATATAGTCACATTTCTATATAGTCATCTAATTTTTTGGTCCCAAAGGTGTGACTATATGGGAGTACGACTGTATAAAGATTAATATCTAAAATTGGCCCAATTTTATTTGGTTTGTCAGGTGGTATGATGTGAGATTGTTTCTGGGCTTTATCACGAGCATGACGATGATAAAAATATCTACCCTGATGTGTTTTATCATGAACTATAAACAAATTATATCACCGTCATCACGTAAAATTAAATCCTTTAATTTCAACTTGTGATAAGAACTACCACACCTTGCTGTGATGCATCCAATCTATAAAAACACTTGATATAGAAGTCCTTTAGGGTTGTCACATAATATTTGTGGGTGGCTAAAAATGAGTTTTATTTCTTCTTCCGTTAACGGATCAGCACCTTTATATGTTGACAATTCCTCTAATTCCTTCATTAGACCATCTAATATTTCACGAAATGCTTTGAATTCAAAATCATTGTGAATATTAATTGGCTCATGTTTAAATATTGTTTCTAAATAATGATTGATTACACAAACTTCAACATAGAGAGAATCAGACGAATATTCAGTATTTTTTCGTGTTCTTGCTTGGATGACAAATTCAGACAGAAGGCTTGCAACTTTTGTTTTGTTTTATAACATATCAAGGTTTAATTTAGGATGTGTGTCACTTATATACTCTTTAAACATTTTTGCCTACACATTCGTACTTTTTTGTGTATTTTCAGGAACCAAATTTTTCATATATGATTTAAGTTTTTCATTTGAAGGTTTTTCAAATTTTCTTCGTTTAGGTAAGTTTTTATATGTTAATGCATAGTCTGAAGCTTTTATAAAAGAGGACTTCATTTTCACAGTACAATAATTTAATGAATCAAAGTAAAAAAAATTTTTTATTTATTTTTGAATCGCATCTTTTTTATATTATCAAAAAGTTTATTATAGGCTATGATGCTTTTAATTAATGACATAAGAGGACATGAGATTAATTAATAATATTCTGGCTTATCAGAGTTTAGTGAATTTTTCTAGGTTGTGTTAACAATAATTCGTACTGCCACTTGATCGGCCGCTTATATGGCTGATCAGTAGCAGTACAAATTATTGTTAACACAACCTAGGAAAAACTCACTAATCCCCGATAAGCCAAGATATTATTATTACTAATAACCTACCTTTAAGAAGTCGTTACTATGCTAACTTTTCTAAAACCAGAAATGATTTTGATTATTTTTAATACTGGAGTCTTACAACCCTAATAAAACTTTCTATATATTTCTTTTTTGTTTATTCTTCGTAGTTTGATTTTTTTTAAAAAGTACTTTAAACTATATAAATAATGTAAAATTAAATTAATTTAAACAGCCAATCATACGAATGTCTTCCTATGATATAAGAAGTAAAATAACATTACTTTAATATAAAAATTATATTGACTATTCAAAAAAAAATTTTTAGCCAATCAAAATCTCATTTTTTTTTTACCCTGTCTAGATTTATGAATTATTTTATTATTGATATATTAAACAATAGATCAAATTGAAACGGTCTAATCACTCTTCTTTACCAGCAAACCTAGCATCGCCTACAAAAAAAATGTAGCTGATGTTATAAATTTATCATATGATAATACACATCATATGAATTATCAGTTATAAGTTATTCTAGTGATAATACAAGTAATAATCTATTAAAATTTTAAAAAATAAATGAGTGAAAAAAAAAACTAATTGATAACTTGAAAAAGTGTCATAATAAACAGAAAAAATCAAATATAAGTTCAAAAAACTAAACTCAGATATGAATCGACTATATATAATTGTTCAAAATATTTATCATTATCATTCTTTAGTTAAAAAATACAAATAATTTTAATGTTATTATCATCACCAGAGTTTTAATTATGACATAGGCTACATTTTTTGTGAACAATGCTAGGTTTGCTTAGTATCACTACTCTAAAAAATTTTGCTTGCAAATTAGTTTCAAGAACAGGTATAACCAGTATTAAAAATAAATTGATTTTATTGTTCTCATGAGAACTATTTTTTCAAAAAAATATTCTTGAACTCAAAGAAAAAATGTTTTAATAAATAAAATTTCATATCATCTCTACTAAATTAATGTTTTAACATACTATTAAATATAAAAGAATATTTTTAAACAAAAATGTTCTTAATTTTGAGATAATGTTCTTCTGAAAACATGGGAAAATAGGATTACCAATACCAGTGTAATATAAAAAAATTGCAAAAAATTAAAACAAACCAAAAAACCATTCATGCTCAATATTTCATCTATGAAATTGCCTTCTACGCATTAATAGAAAGTTTTACTTGTGAAATTTTGATATTAAAAAAACTCTTTCTAGATTAACTTAGTAGCAAAACCTAGCCCTAACTTAACAACAAAATTTTTATTTAGCGAAATTTTAAGGTGATGATGCTAGAGTCATATTCAGAAATTTAGATCACAATCAAAATTAGTCATGATATGAAGATACAAGTAGTCATATAATGATATTAATAATGGTTTAGGGTGCTCTCAAGCATCTAAATCAATAGGTCTAAGTTCAATTTTTAATTAGTAGAAAATAAATTATTCAGTCAAGCGAATTCATTGTCATGATTATACATGTTGACGAAATTATTTTGGAGTCTAAAACCCAAAATTAAAATTTGAAGATGAAATTGTTTTTGACCTATTTTACTTAAAAACAAAATTTTTGACACTTTTTTTGAAGAGACGAAATTATAAAAAACATAACTTCCTAAATTAGATTTGCTCTTGCATATAAAAAATTCTAATTTGCTCTAATGGAAACAAAATAAGGTTTTTTTGAAAACCTATTTTTGTGGCATGTATAATCATGATGAAAAAAGATGGTTAAGGCATTTACAAGTATTATGTAATTACCCTCTCTGGGGATTTTATTAAATCTACCCACTATTGACCCAGAGTCAGTTATTTAATTTTAGCTAAAAGCATAGTTCTGAACTCAGATCACATGACTATAGTGCAGTAAATCATATAACATGAGTTTAAAACTCAGAGAAATATACCAATACAGCATGCATGTGACTTATCTACATTATCGACATAGCAAATGATCAATATGAGTACTCTATTTCTAATTAATCAGAGTTTGGAGTTTTAATTGGTATTAATATCAAACAGACATACATATATAGAGTTATTATCATGATATTTAATTGCAATATTTAATAATTTATTAAGAATTAAATTTTTTTAATAGATAACATTTTAATTTTTAATACCACTAAATATATTCAAATAAGCAATTGTCCAAAGGAATTTTGTATTTATGTTTTATTTATTTAGATTTGTATAAAATGCTAATATAGTAATATCGTTTTATAAAAAAGACAAACTATGCAAAAAGTTTGAACCAATGATCTTCAAAGCCATGTTTACAATAGGGTTGTTAATAGAGTGCTCCTAACTTTAATAAAATATATAACCTACTCCAGAGCACTCCAGAAATAGATTATATGTTTTATTAAAGTCTGAAATACTCTATTAACAACCCTAGTCTACAACAAATAGAAATATGCTACACATTAACTGTTGGCCAATTTACTTTTATGTAACTTTTCATGTTTATATATATAATATAGTTGCTATTTACAAAATATAATATAATTAGGTTTCTTTTATATATTGGTGCTGATTCTAACAGGAAAACATTGCATACTGTTTATCCTTTTCATAAAAGATGGCAATAGGAATGGAAAAAGTATCAGCAGCCAATTGTAACAATCTGGTGACAAAAACCAAAGTGAAGATAAACATGGTGATGCCTGAGACTCTAATATCTGTTTGAGTAAATCAATGTTATAACCTAGCCAGTCTCTATAAATTTTTATATGCTTATTCAATTAACTATTTATGGCCAATTTAACAAGATTCCAGTTTTCTTCATTTCCCTGAATAGCAATAGCAAGTGCCTGAAATCCACAGTTACTATCACTTTTTGGGTTACATATTTGATCTATATCATTGATGAGAATTTGAAGATTTAGGAATATTTTTAGTCTTTTATCTATAAGTAATATATAATAAGTTAATAATTTGTAATAAGTTAATAATTTGTAATAAGTTAATAATTTGTAATAAGTTAATAATTTGTAATAAGTTAATAATTTGTATATTAGCATGTTATTTTATATTATTTAAAATATGCATTATCTTCGATATTAAGTATTAAACTGTTTAATAAGGAATTAAAAGAATTAACACTTTCAATTGATTTTTTTTTACAACATCAACTTTATTTTTCTTTCTCTTAGCTTCCATATTTTCCAATGCAATTGGTAATTGTTTAGTACCTGAAGAGTGACCTTTTTTTCTAATTTGTTCTGGAATCTTTATTTCAGAAAGTTTGACTTTAGGTACTACTAAAATATCATCAAGTTTTTTCAGAAAATCAGATGTTCATTAAGGAAGTTCATATATTGCATTTCAATTTTGTATAACTGAGACTTTAGTAAAAAATTATTAAAACCAGTTGAGGATAAGTCTTTTATTGAATAATTAGAAGCAACTTGATTTTGATAAGAAATTAGTAGCTATCTTTTGAAAATAATTGATATCATGATGGGGCTACTTAGTAGAAGAATATGTCGACAAGGTATGTTATAATTTACATGCAATTCATACAAACAAGCTTTATAAGTAGTCATATTAAGAAGCTCATTCTTGATCTTATTCAAAGCAAATTGTGTGACCCTTCCTAAAAGTAGCTTTATTCAATTCTTATTATCTCATGTTAATAATAGGTTAACATTTATACTTTTATTCTTATATTGTAATAAAAGTTCCTCATAATGCAAACATATCTATTTATCTAATGAATTAAAAAACTTTGTTAAACTTTCTGAAGTCTCAATAGCATATTTTATAGCCGAATGTGCACTTTTATCATATTGTGTTGTTGTAGCACTAAGGTGCATTATTCTGCTTGTATAAACTCCAACCCACTTTTCTTTAACTTTCATCATTCTATAAAATTCAAATTATACAGTATATATTAAATTAATAATGTATGTAAATCTTATACTTAATTTAAAAATTAATTTAATATATTAGTGATAAAAAGTGAAACTCTGTAAATTATTTCACTCAATGAATGAAATGATTTATGGGTTTTCTCTTTTCATCACTTATATACTATATCGATATATAATACATATACACTTCCTTGTCAAAATATTTAATTACCTCATTTGCATTGAAGCTTGATTTAGCCAGTACTTTATATGAAGCAATTGTTAAATTTAATGCATTGTAATCTCTCGAATGGATGATACGATCTATGATTTTTATAATTTTATCATAAGAGTCATTGTTGAAATATTTTCTTAAATTTTTTTTAAAATTGTTCAAAACATGCCAAGTACACAAGAGATTTTCAGATTGAGAAAACCTTTTTAATGGTACCAATAAGTGCTGCATCATTGTCTGTAACAAATACAAGCGGAGAAGTATCCAAAAAAATCAATAATGCAGCTTTTCAACCACCTAAATATATGATTTCTCAGTTTCATCTAAGATCCAAGCACCTGCAATTTCAAATGTTTGCAACCGGTTAACCCCAAGATTACTAATGCTGATAAAATTTACAAATGTTTGCAACCGGTTAACCCCAAGATTACTAATGCTGATGAAATTTATAAATGGCAGTTTGTAAACATTCATTTTATAGGTTACATCAGCTAGAACAACTTCTGGAAAATATTTAGCTATTTTAACTGAATTTTCATGACAGAAAAAAATGTTTGATATGCCTATCTGTATTAATTCAATATTATGTAAGAATTCTGAAATGAATTCAAAAAAAAAAATTTACACTTTTGATTTTTACAATGAACACTATATTCTCTTTTTTCCATATCTACTATTAGCGCCTCCATTGAGGCATTTTCTTCTGAAATATAAATTTGTGAACCCAAATTTAATATATCTCATCTAGTTGTAGTTGATTCCCCATTTTCATCTCTGATGGCTTCATAAATTGTACTAGGCTTTGCTCTAGCATTTAACATTTGTATAGCTATATGTTTGGCTTCTTGTGTTAACCGACGATGCTATGAAATACTCTTGCATCTTTAGCCTTGGGATGATTATGCTTATTTATTACTTTGATAATTTTCTATTTAGAGTTTTGTAGAACAGCCTTCAATAAATATAGGTATACACAACACTTGTTTATCCTTTTTTTTGACGTGTATCTTCTGTTAGATTAGAGATATTCTAGGGTTGACCACTGCGTTTGTATTGGAAGTGAAAGTGACGATGGCTACTACTCTTAATAGTTATAGCAAACCCAGAATGCTGAGCTATTTTCTGGACAACATTTAAAATATCTTTTTTGGTAAAGTAAATTTGTTCAAGCATTTTACAAGCTACAATAATAGACAGTTGTAATTAATATAAACTGTTATTGTATTTTACAATTCTTTACTTTTGGTTTCAAATTTTTCTTTATTTTCTTTATTGGACTTAGTTTTATTGTCATCAATAGATTCAACCTCATCATCTCGTTAGATCCAATTTCATCTTCCTCACTAAACTTGATTTGGTTATCTTCATTAGATCTGAACTTATTTAAATTTTCAAAATTGTTCATTTTACAAAAAAGAAGCAAATGTCTAGTGCTACTATATTATAGATATGTAAGTACAAATGTCTTGGATCATGTATAAGGTTTAACCCTTACTGATTTATTTAAAAAATTTTGTTTATTTAAAACTTTTATCACATACAATTAAAATTATCAATAAACTTTTGATTACGTTACAGTATTTATTGATCTTACACATTTTTTTATTTAATTTTTATTCTTCAATCCTTTTAATTTCTAAGAAACAATAGTAATATAATTATGTATATATTATTAAAATGAGGTACTCATGTTGATCATTTGCTGTGTCAATAGCATAGATAAAGTCACATGCATGCTGTGTTGGTATATTTCCCTAACTCGAATTGAGTTTTAAATAGAAAGTCTATAGACACGTACAGGTCATGTGATATTTCATGTACCAAAATAAAAGTTTTTTGATTTAAAAAATGATCTGTTAAGACTTTTGCGCCAAGTTAACATTCTTTATCATTCTAATAAAGCTTGTTCTCCTGGCCTTTCCAGTTCTAATAGTGGTGAAATTATTAAAATCTGATTAGTATAACCAGAGATATAGACTTTCGAAATTTGGCAACATTCTAAAGATTATATATTTCTAGCTCTACTGAGTTTATTTTTATAATCTCACCACCATTAGAATCAGAAAGACCAGGAAAACATATTTTATTAGAACAATAAAGAGATTAACCTATTATAAAATCTCAATCGAATCACTTTTTAATGAAAAAAAAAGAAAAAGATGGTTCAGAAAACTTCTAAACTAAGTTAACTTCTTTTATCACTCTAAGTAAACTTGTTCTTCTGGTTTTTTCGATACTAATAATAGTGAGATTATTAAAATTGACTCAGTAGAGCTGGTGATATAACCTCATGAAGTTTTTGCACCATTTTTATATAATCTTTAGAACATTGCCAAATTTCAAAAGTCTATATCTCCGGTTCTACTAATCAGATTTT